GGGGGGGGAAATCCGATTTCCTTCTACCCTTTTGTGGGGTGGGGGGTGCCAAGCTGCAGACAATATTGAGATGGAGGGAGGGGACCCAAAAAAAATTAAGAGCTTCTTTGGAGGGAGCTGATTTTACTCTGCCTGTTATTTTCAGCAGCGGGGTAGGGAGGAGAAAAAAAGCCAAGAAAAAAGATTTGGGTGGCAAAGGGCAATCTGATTTCACTGCATCTACTTTTTCCCCTGGAGGGGGTACCAAGATGCAAAGATTATTTTACAGGGGGAAAGAAAATAAAGCCAAGAGAAAAAGAATTCACGGATTATTTTTGTGGCTAAAATGATGTCCTTCTACCTACTTGTACGTGGTGGGAGTCAGGGGAGCCCAAGATAAAAAGAACTCAGAGCTTTTCCAGGGTGAGTGACAGCCTCTTTTTTTTTTTTTTTTTTTTTTTGGGGGGGGGGGGGGGGTTATAAAAAAAAAATAAAGAAAAGAAAATCAGAGCCATTTTTAAGGCAGAATTGAAGCTTGTCATATTTACTGGGAAACACTGAAGGAAGAGAAAAAGCAAGAAAGCCGACTTGCTCGAGATGCGTGCACTGGAATTTCATGGGCAAAAATAAAGCCATTAACTGAAGTAAATGCTTTCTAGCTCATGATGGAAAGCACAGAGATCATGAAAGAAAGAAAGAAAAAAAGCACCGTTAAGAGCAAATATGATCCAGAAGCTGGAATCCCAACGAGGGTGAAAAATATCCAGTCCTCCCTTTTCTGACGGGGAGAAAAGCCAATATTTAAAAATCACAACCCTTTTTTGGTGGATTTCTATTTTTTTTTCAGCCTATTTATTGGGAAACAGTGATCCAAAACTCACAGTAAAAAAGAGAAAAAAGCCTAGATAGATAGATATTAGATAGTGTGATCACGCACGCACATGCATAGGTGTGACATGATGTAGTACATATGTAATTATATATAATTGCATTTATATTATAATTATATATGTATATTAGTATATACTGTAATTGTATGTATATATGTACAATAATTATATCTATGAAAATTATATATGTGCATATACATAAAGTGTATGTGTATGCATATACACACATACATATATATACACACACACACACAGGCATACATTCATATTTTACTATACATGCGTATAGTATGTGTGTGTATACACACACACACACACACACACACGTGTTTAATATATAGTTACCTACATGTGTAATAATCATGTGTATTATAATTATTGCACACATGTGCATGTCTAATACCTATAAAGTGGTGTGTATGCTATATCCATGTATAGTATACTATAGGTATGCATTCATAGTATAAATATGCATGTTTGCATTGTATGTATATATGTACTATATGCATGTATAATAAAATATGCATATATGCATGTATGCACAGTACACTATACGCGTGCATGTGTACTATGTTATATGCAGGTGTAGTATACTATATGCATGCACATAAATATGCTTGTATGCAGATTATATATTACATACACACAAGTATGTGCATTCTCTCAGAGCATTTTTCATATTAGGAGACTGAATTATTATTTATGTAAATCTATGGTAAAAAAAAAAGGGGAGAGAAAAAGCAAAAGGAAAAAGAAGAAGAAAAAAAATGTGGCGTGCCCCCCCCCCACCCTTTTTTTTTTTAGTGGATCTGTACTTTTTCAGCATTTATGTTGGGACACTGAAGCACTAAAAAGGAAAAAAAGCCATATTAAAAAAATATTCAAACAAGATAAAAATAAAGTAAATCAGCCTTGTTAGTTGATTTGTAGCTTTTTAGTCATGTTTATTGGGAGACTAAAATAATAGGGAAAAAAAAATCACAGTAAAAGAAAAAAAGGGAAAAAAAACCCTAGATAAAAAAAAAAGACGACAGATACTTTAGATGGCTTTGCAGCTTTCCCATCATATTTACTGGAGACAGGATGATTTAAATAAAGAACAGGAAAGAATAATGGAGGGTCTTTTTTAAAAAGACTTGCCCACTGGCGGTTTGATGGACAAAATTGCGTTCAGTCAAGGCATGTATCAAAATTAAAACAGATAGTATAAAAAAAAAATAAAAAAAAAAATATTCAGGTCTCATGATGAAAAAGCATCAAGCCAGGATAATAGAAAGAAAAAATGCATGAGCTAAAAGGCGGCACGCCCACAGCAGATGCAATCCAAGAGGGGGCAAAAAAATATACTGTAATTTTTTTAATTGGGAAAAGAAAACACACAGCTATTTTTTAATCAGGTTTGAGGCTTTTATTTTGTCATCTTTATGGATAGAACCGGGGGGGGGGGGGGAAAAAAAAG